TATACATATATACATACACACACGGATTTATAGAGACACAAAGAGAATTGAAGTGTGAGAAAGTATTGTAAGAAGCACACGTTTAATTCAAAACATCATTTCCCTAATTCACATACAGAAGAAAACAGAAGGAACCACCTATTATATGTAATAATTTACAAACCTGTTCTTTCTTTATAATGTCTTGGGCTTCCTGAAGTAGTTTTTTCTTGGTCTCTGTTTCAGCTCTGTTTTGCTCTTCATACGCCGTAGTTACCACAGCCAAGATCAGATTGAAGAGATAAAATGAGCAGAGAAGGATGAATATCACAAAAAAAAAAAAGGAGGTCACTCCAGATGTACGGATAGTCTGTGAGGAAAAGGTAAAAGTTGTGATATATTCTTAACAAACTAAAGTTTACAACACAATTTCAAACTAACTTTAAAAAATTTCTTTTCCTATGCAATACAAAGGGTTTACATACTGTACTATTTTTATTAAACAACTATTTTTATTAAATTATTAAGATCAGCCTCTGGTCCAAGTTATACAGAAGGTCTAGAAATAAATCCAGTCAAAAGTTCCCTCAGCCTTGAAGTAAATAGATTTCAGCTCTTAAAATCCTCTCTATGTTCACACCATGTTATCTTTCTAGTATAACACCTCAAATATTCATAACAATACCTTAAACTGCACAGAAGAATTAATAAGACCCATTCTTAAAATTAAATTCAATTAAATATCTCCCAGAAAATCGGGTAAATGAACATCAAAGGTTAAGTTATGAGAAGACAACTTCAGCACTGAAGAGCTATAGAGGTGACTACAGAAGAAATTAATGAAACTCAGAAATAAAGATGGGATTATCTAAAAAACCATGAAAGATGTTATAATTACAGAATCAAGAGTCAATATTGAGAGTGATTATCTTATTCTTACATTTGTTTAAATGGCAGCAGAGGAGACGGCTCAAAATTAAGCTCTGAGACATTTAAATGACAAAAAGAAATTATATCTATTCCAAAAAAGAAGTCTTAAGTTAATAAGGGTTGATGGAAAAAAAAAGTTAAGATGGAAAATATGAAATTTACAGAACAAGGCAGAGGATAATTCTTGTCTAGCAAAGGCATCGCATAGACATAAGGCATCCAGAGAGTTGTCTACATGCATTTTTATAGTATTTCTGAAAAAAAAACCCACCAGAATTCAAAAGTTACATTCAACTCTCTGAATCAAAACATCAAGCCTCCAAATTTTTAATGACAGTTGTCAAAAATGATCTGAAACTAAAGTGTTGAGCCAAAAGGTTTGGTGAGGAGTCAGGACTTAAAAGGAAGAGGAACAAGGAAGGCAACAAGAACTCACGCTCCCTGCAGCAGCAGGGAGCTCACTGGCTGGATCTGCTGTATATCCCAATCCTTGGGTGGTTCCATACTCATATTTCACTCTTAACCACTGCCCCCAGTGTGTTCTCCTACAGAACTATGGGCATTCCCAGCAGGATTGCTCCCATTCCATGTCCCTTGCAGAAGGTGTTACAGCTTAGTCACTTGAACCTACTTCCTTAATATTTACATGGATTTTGAAGGAAATGTGGTGTCAGTAAGGTTAAAACCAGTAGAGATTTTTCTAGTGGCTCTGAATTGCATGTGTCAAGTCATTCTATCAGGTAATAAAAGTACCCACCTGTCTGTAGAGGCGCTCCCAGGAATCCTGTGTCATCAGACGGAATACAGAGAGGAAGGCCCAGCCAAAATGATCAAAACTTGTATAATCAAAGTCAGGATTCTGCCCAATCTTCTGGCAGGTATAGTTTTCTGGGCACTCTTTCCTAACCCCAAAAGATTAAACAATACTTACTTGGAGATTTAATGGTACCTGAAAGCACCCAATAGACAACACCAAATTTGTTCAGTTTATCTGAAAGTCCATCTCATTAGTCCCCAGTTTCATTCTGCCAGAAGAGCTGATTTATATCAAACCATCCTAGAAAGCCATTTGTCTAATCAGAGAAAACTAGACACAAATCTTAGTTTAGGACTAGACAAAAAGTCTCCTCTGATGTTGTTTACGTGCAAACAAATACACAGAGAGGGGGAAAATGGAATTATTTTTACTTTTAAATAATTCTCCAAGATGAGGAGAGGAGAGTTTATTAATATCTTACAGGTCTTTACTGGTCTCTTCTTCTCCTCATTTATATCATTCTACCTTACCATTACATTCCCCGTGGTTAGCAAGAAATTACATACATAACTGGTTGCATCCTTGTGCTTCATTCTTTTTCTGAGGTGAAATATCTGCCTTTTAATTTAATGACACACAAGCACCCTATCCTCCTGAAAAATCATCACCATTCCTTTAGACCAGAAATTAAACCACAGTACATCTGGAGGAACAAATTAAGAAAGTACTAAAACTGCTTTGTTCACTTACTCGGGATCTGAACTGAACCCACAGAGCAATATGTCAGAAGAGTCATTCATTCTGTGGCAGATATCTAATAAAAAATAAATCAAGGAATCATAAAATCAGAAGTTATCAGTTTCGACAGCCTTCTGACAGGAAACCATACATTTACTGCACTTGATAAACACCCTGATGGATCAAAGCTCTGGGAAGGATCCTTTCACAACAAAGGACGTATAGGGCTGATTCTCAGCAGATCTGTCTCTGTGAAAGATTAAAAAAAATTAGCAACTATTTACTGCACAACTCACAATGTAAGATTTCATTTGGTCTCTGCTAAAAGTAAGAATCTCTGTGAGAAGTAGGCAAAATCCCTGAAATATAGAAAAAGTGATGGAAAAATAACCATTCCCTGTGCAGTACCCCTAAAATTAGGATCCCTGTACCATGCACAGGTTAAAAGGCAAATGCTTATAGAAAACTCAGCCCCATCTATCCCACAGCCTACTGATCTTTCTCCAAATCCAAGATTCACTAATTTCACATTCCCTTGTCCCAGAGACTTCCTATTAAGACTCGTGCAAACGGAAGGGTTTTCCTTCTTGGGAGAAATACATGCAACTATCACATCTCTGTAAAAAATCAAGACATACATGGGAAGATACACAGATTATGTAAAGGGAGAAAAGAACAACATTTACCTTCATCACTTGGTACATAGATCTTGGGATCCTTACATAATGAGTCACTGTACACAGTATTATTGAGGACACATTTGAACCTTAAATTGCCCATAAAAAGCTGGAGGCCTATTAGGGCAAATATACTCAGGCAAAATACAGTCAAGATCAACACGTCAGCAAGTTTCTTAAGAGATTCAACAATTGAATTTACCAGGATTTTCAAACCTAGAAAAATAAGATCCAATAATACACAAAATGAGAAGAGGAATGCAGTGACATTCCCATATGACAAGACACAGCAGTTGCAAGTCTGTTAAAAACAATCAGAGTAAATGGGTTTGTAACTTCTGAGTATTAAATGAGGTAAAAGAAAGCATAGGAGTGACTAAAGCATTTTTCCCTATATTTCCTAATCATAATTTCTTTGGCTTCTGTTTAGTACTAACGCTAATTTTACTATCATGCAAATTCTAAATTAAGATGGTAGTCTAGCAAAGTCTTTAATGAATAGGGGCAGCTTTCTGTTTTTGTGCTTGATTATCACTAAACAAGTACTTCACCCTGTGCCAAATACACATTACAGTGAAGGACAGCTTCTGCTGGCCTTGGGGAACTCTGCCTTAGAAGGTAATCCCTTACAGATGCCACCAGTTCAAAAGCAAAAGAACATTTATGACATTAGTAAGGAAACATATTAATGTTGAGGACCACCCAGCTGGAACACAGCTTGGTAGAAGGAGTCCTGGGCATTCTGGAGGACACCAACCTGAACATGATCCAGCAACAGTGCCTTGTGACAAAGAGGGTGACTGTTTCCTGGGCTGTGTTAGGCAAAATATGGCCAGCAGGTCAAGGGAGGTGATTGTTCCTCTCTACCCAGCCCTGGTGGGGCCACAGCTGGACTACTGGCTCCAGTTCTGGCCCATGGACACACTGCAGAGTCCAGCAAATGGCCACAAACATGGTGAAGGGACTGGAGCAACTCTGCCACGAGGAAAGGCTGAGCTGGGCCTGGTCAGCCTGGAGAAGAGAGAGTTCAAGGGGGATCTCCTCCATGTCTGCACAAATCTGAAGGGAGAGTGCAAAGAAGATGGATCCAGGCGCTTTTCAGTGGTGCCCAGTGCCAGGACCAGAGGCCATGGGCACAAACCCAGACATGGGATGTTCCATCTGAGCATCAGGAAACACTTTTCTACTGAGAGGGTGACTGAGCACTGGCACAGGTTACTCAGGGAGGCTGTGGAGTCTCAATCCTTGGAGATTCACAAAAGCTGTCTGGACTTGGTCCTGGGTAACCAGCTCTCAGTGGCCCTGCTTGGGCAGTGAGGCCGGACCAGACGACCTCCAGATGTCCCTTTCAAACTCAACCATTCTGGGATTCTGAGAAAATTCCTTATATATAAACTAAAGACCAATATTGAGGTAGAATCATTGAATCTGAGGTATGATATAAGCAGACAGGGATATCCAGGATTTTTCATAAGAAAAAAAGTCAAATTATATTTGATCTCTGTTCTCCATGCGGAATATGAAAGGAAAAGTATTTTGTGTGGTTTTGACAATAAAATGAAACACTTTCTATGTTTAATTCCTGCTATAATTTCAGAGCTAAATCAAAACTATATTTTCAATTACATAGAAGAGGTAAAGTTACTATATATTATGACAACATATACAGTCATTGACAGATTTTCAAATGAATTTTTGCAGGTAGACCCCGAAATCATCCTTTGATATCCTAGTTAGGGGCATGACTTGGAAACATATCAAGTATCTGGATGGTATATGCAACATATTGCTGAAAGTATTACACTGAATCCAGATAGTGGCTGGGGTCAGCAAGGAAACAAATGAAAGTCTCAAATATTGTGAAGTCAGCATTCTCGGGAGGAAACAAAGATGATTAAGCCAATGAATCTTAGCAAGCTAATTAAGCTAAGGAAACAGAAATATGGAGGTATAACCATATTATGTTAAGAGAACACATCAAATAGAGGAGGCTGCTCCGAGAACACAAAAGTAAAACAACAAAGGCATCGGACTAAGTAAAATTGAACATCAGTGTTGGGACGAAAAATGCAGAAATTAAATTTGCCTTTGTCAAAACCATTTGGAGGAAAGATGATTAAAACAATTCTGTTAGGATGCTGCTGAGAGTTACTACAAACTGTAAAACAGTCACACCTAAAAGCAACTATATATATACAATATTACAGGATACCATCAGCAGTCACAAAAAATGACCAGAAAGCTGAGGACAAGAACAGGAGAGGAATCAGAATCAGTAGACTGGTGAAATGGAGAGGATAGCAGTAAGATTGTTCCTTACCTGGTATTACTGAAATGGCTTTCAAAGTCCTCAGCACTCTGACAGATGCAAAAAGTGAAACATCGCCTATATCTACAAATGTAGCAACATACCTATAAAATGAAAGCACATATAACTGAATGCCAAGGATGTTGCTTTTCAAACCATAACCATGTTGAGCCAGTCTATGACTATTTTTCTCTTTGGATATATGCAAATGGTGGTTCAAGCACAGTAACTCTTTAGCAGGTAGGAGGCCAAACACTCTCAGGAATTTCAGCAACATCAAATAGTATTTTATCTGTGGCTTTTTCCCTTCAGTGTAAAAGAACAACTGAGTTGTACTTACATTACAATAATAACAGACAGATCCAAGCAGTTCCACGGATCTCGAAGGAAGGTGAATTCATTCCAAACAAATCCTCTTGCTAGTATTTTTATCAACATTTCAGCAGTATATACGCCAGTAAAAGCAATTCTGAGAAGGAAAATGTATATTAGGATTATAGAAATAAAAACATTAATGAGATTGAGTCACATTCAGGCACATTCAGGCATTTTCTATGGTAGGACAGATTATATTACTTTCTGAAGCATCATGGGTATCAGATAATGTGTTCCTGAATTCTAGTAAGACTGCAGGTAGTAAATCTGTAACCACAAAAGTTCACAGAAGCCTACGATATTATTTCTAGGTGAAGGATAGCTCACACTTCCTTAGCAAACATTTTTAACACTGTGTTTATATTCTAAATAAGGCAGGAAAATCACAAGGCCTCAACATTCTGGCAGAACAATAGAACAAAAGAACAATTGAACAAAGGCTTATTTAAGCCTGTAAAGTTTGCACATTTTATACTTTTTGTCTGAGAAAAACTCTATCATGGAAAGCAAACCTACAGAAAATTAACCTATTCTTATCACCATGCTTACCCCCAGAATGGACACTTATCCCTTTCTAGTTTTTGCATGAGCCAACCATAACAGACATTCAGGTTACTTCTGTAGAATGAGAGATTTTAAGTTAGAATTCTACCCCACAGTCTCTATAAAAGGCTCCATCCTTAAAAGAAAAAATGGGCCAACCTTCTGTGTCACAGCAGATGGCAAAATTAGCCAACACAGAGGAAAGGGCACATGGTGTGAGCCTCTGAGAAAAGGCACTGAAGGTCCACCAAAGACTCGGAGATATAATAAAAATCCTCAATCTTCCTCAGAGGTCTGACTGAGTGAAATTTTCCAAGGCCCTGAATTAGATCACCACATTGTTTAAATTTTTCACTCCTTCATGTTAGTATCCATGGAAAAAGAGGGAACAGAGAGCCACTGAGATACTTACTCAGTCCAGTTGAGTTCTGGTGGAAGCTGACGTACAGTCAATAATGAAAAATTGAGGTACAGAGTACATAAAATAAAGACAGCAAACCACGTGAATAATAAGTTAAGGAAAAAATGCTACATTATAAAACAATGAAGTTCACAGAAGGTCCTGTTTTCCACACAGAAAGCATACAGGCATTCAAATAATGACTTTGGTTTTGGATATGCTCAGGACTTTTCATGTGTTTTCCAAAGAAACTAAGTTAGAACTTAAGTGGGATGTAACATGTTTAACAGAAGAGATGAGAAACATAAATTAATGAAAACCAGTTGAAAAAGTTTCATTACTAATAACCAATGTTCTTTGAAACTGGGATTCCATATCCACATGTTAGCAAAACACCCCCCTGCTCTGCAGGAGTTCAGAAAGCTTTCTCACTTTGTGTGGTAGGCAGTGAAAACATGCATAAGAAAAAACATTCATGAAAGTTCACCTGCCATGTAATAAAACTGTTTGGGGTGTTTTTTAAATAAACTTTGTTTTTAAATGTAAGGTTTAATTGAAAGTGAATACTAAATTTAGCAATTTCTAATACTAGGCATACACATTCAAAGTCAGACATAAGTTCCACTAAAAGGATCTATTTTCACAAGTCAATAATTCCAAATGAATAGAGATATTTAGCAGAAAAAGCAGAAACTACTCACTTGATGTTTTAGCACCTGCAAATCCTTCACATTCTGACATTCTCCAAACTACAGTTATATTGTTTCAAAAATATGAAAGATGAGCACTCTTCAGAACATTCTAAACTTGAGTGTGGAACACATTTCTTAGGAGAACATGAGACTCTTTCAGCAAAGCTTCACCATAAATCCCATCTTTCATATCTTAAAAACCAGGGAGTCCCTGTTTTGATTTGTTTATTTGTTTGTATGTTTTTAATTTAACCTTGTGACCACAGCAGAGATTTCGAACAAGTTCTGGAAAAGGGCTACGATGTCATACAATAGCCTCTAAAGGTTGTTTCATACCAATATCTGCAAAATTGATTTTAAATATCAGCACCAACATCATGCAAATATCTCAGCTGTTGTAACATTAGATTCAATACAACTTTAAAAAATCTCTATCACAGCCATATAAGCTTATATTCACATTAATATAAAGAGAGGAACAGAATGACAGAAAATGGTACAGAATATTTTAAAATTCAAATAAGGGAAACCAATGAAAGGATATGAATTGGTCAGAATTTCAATTGCTGCTTTTCTGACTGGATTAAAAGGACCAAATATACACAAGGCAGGTGTGGCAGTAAATCGGAAAATAGTCCTCTTTTTGTTTAGCACCATAAAAGTCTACAAAGAAAAGATTCATAGGATATGAAATTTTTAAGCTAATTAAATTTCCCCAAAAAGTAAATATTCAGGTTTTCAACTCTGCATCTAGAGCTATATAAAACTTCAATTATGAGTAAAGCTTTCCTGTTTTCTTACTTGGAGCTGTGACCTGGCCATACACATTTGGAAGAAAAGACAGTAACTATAAAAGTGCATTACTGCTTGAAAGGGAGAAGCAGTCATGAGAATGAAGGGCAAGCAATCATATTCACTTGGTCAAAGTAATTAAACTACTTAAAGCAATTAACCAGTAATTACTATTCTAGGACTGCAACAATAGTCACGGTCACACTCCGAAGTACCTTGCTCTTGGATAGTTTTACAGGCTACAAAACCTTATTTACAAAATACACATTGTGTAGGACTGCCAGAATCCCAGACATCCACAGGAAAAAATTAAAAATTTGAAGTATCCCCAAATTATCAAGCAACACTGTAATTTCCTTCTAAGCTACCTCAAGTTCCGTGCAATTCCATACTTGTGCTACACGTAAAAACAAGATATCGTGAACAAAAAACACGGTTTCCTAATATACATTTCTTCAACTGAATCAGTCTCAGTTTCTCTTCATCAACACTATTACTTTGATTACTTGGAGAAAACAAATCTATGGAAGAACAAAGTCTTCTGCATGTTCTCCCATTCAACTACTATATTCCAATGCCTTGCTGGTCATTTCATAAAGACAGCAGCACAGCACTGCATGGAACCTCCTGCTCTTCAGGTCAAGTCCCCCTCAACAGTAAGCAATCATACAACAGACATTTAATTGTGGAGGGATTCCTACAGCATCTACTTTAGACACTCCCACAGACAACAACACCAACCCCTTTGCAATCGTATGGAGGATTTGCAATATAAATATGGTACAATAAACAAAGCCAACGAGACATAAAATAACAGAAAATTAATTTACAACTATGCAAATACAGGGGTTTGCTATGCAGAGTGCTGGAAATACCTCAAATATGCCTCCCCTAATTGGTATAATCTTTGTAATTCAGTGAAAGCATCTGCAATTTGAAAATGATCTACTCTTGGACAGGCACTGTTTATACCACAGGGAGTTCAGCCTCACAGGCATCATAGGAATTGCTCTGCAAAACAAAGCATCCCTTTTCCCAGAATATATTTCCTGTAGAAGTGTATCAATCGTGTGCATTATGTCTTCATAATTAAATCTGACTGCTGACTGGAACTGAAGATACCTCTTCATGGCATAAAGCAGAGCACACCTTAGCACTCCAAAAGATGTCAGGAATGTTGAAAGACCTGTCTGCACAACAATCAAAACCCAGTATCTCCCAACTAGAGCTTTTACTATCTCTTAAGAGTTCAGCAGACAAAGTTAAAGCAAAGAAATGCTTTTGGAAGTTTTAACCTTGTGATCACTGTAGTACGGATCAAAATCCTCCAGGGGTTCCCCAATGAGCTCTGATGGAATGTCCCCATAAATAGATGACAGCTTTTTGCAGACTTGCAGATCAAGCCGGGGAGTAAGTTGCTCTGCTTCAACTCCTTGGTCCTTATTTTTCTCTTTTTCTTTGTCTGGCTGCTTTTTTTTCTCAGCAATTCTTTGCTCAATTGCAGCCAAAGACTCAGGGGTGAAACGTCGAAAGCTGTTAGTTTCTGATGACCAACACCAGCGATCCATTTTTCCTTCTGAAGGTTTGTTTCCAGTGCTAGAGGCAATTGAAGAAAAAAAGCTATGAATACCTAGAAAATAACAGAAATAATACACAGCTTTAAACTACTATCTATTAGATAAATGATTTCTGACTTCTATGAAATCCCACATCAAAAGTGAATAGAATAGAGTAGAACAGGAATTTCAGTTGGAAGGGACCCACAACAACTAACCAATGCAACTGTCTCAGCAATTCAGGGCTGACCATGTTAAAGCTGTTCCTAAGGGCACTGTCCCAGTGCCTCTTGAGCACTGACAGGCTTGGGGCATGGACCACCCCTCCAGGAAGCCTGTTCCAGTGTTCAACCACTCTCTTGGTAAAGAAATTCTTCCAAATGTCTCACCCCAACCCACCCCAGTGCAGCTTTGTACCATTCCCACCCATGCTGTCACTGGATACCAGGAAGAGAAGCTCAGCACCTCCCTCTCTGCTTCCCCTCCTCAGGAAGCTGTAGAGAGTGTCGAGGTCACCCCTTGGCCTCCTCTTCTCCAAACTAGACAAGTCCAAAGCCTTCAGCCCCTCCTCACAGGACATTCCTTCCAGCCCTCCCACCAGCCTTTCTGCCCTCCTCTGGGTGCATTCAAGGACCTTCACATCCTTCCTAAATTGTGGGGCCCAGAACTGCACGCTGTGCCCCATGTGAAGGAGGCCACCCCTGTGTTTGCTCTGTTTGATGCACCCAGGATATAAGGCAAAACCAACTAGAAGCTCATTCATTTAAAAGAAAGAGTATTGTAAAACAAACCCCCAACAAAGATAAACACCTAATTCTTTGAAACACTCTGCATTTTTCATTTCTGTCTTGTGAGCTCACTTATGGACCATAGGTGTTAGAGAATCAATACCCTCTTGTAATTACAGCTCTCTTCTTCAGATGCCAATATATTTCTTAAAAAAGAATATGCAAACAATAATCTTTGTGCAACAATTTTGTTTGGGTTTATGGGACTTGGGTGGTTTTTCTTTTCTGCCTCTGGGACTTTACAAGCAAGTTCAGATCTGATCAGAAACCACAGCTCAGAGATTAGAATTTGCCATGGTAACAAAATGGAAGCATATAACCAAAGAACTGGTACTTTGCCAAACCACAGAGATCCATTTCCAATTGAAAGCTCAAAAGAAAAAGCAAAAACCAAGATGCTCTTTCTTTTTTTTTTTTTAACTTTTATTTAATTCTAAGAAGATCAATTTGATCTTCAAAGCAATTTTAAGGACAACAGAGAGACTGAGCTTTTAGGGAACTACTTTGGCTGTAATGAATGAAGCAAAGGAAAAAGTTTTAGCAAATACAAACATCGTTTTAGTATTATGGATTTGGGAGATGAATTTTTGAAAAAAGTGAAGACTGAATCTGACAAAAGCAGTGATCAAGAGCAAAAAAACCTTACACATTCCCTTCAGCAACAGTGACCAGAAGTCATAATTGGACAAGCATTCATGGACAATGTGAGAGGATTTCTTCAACAGACCTGTACCAGCCACATACTAGTGCTCATATAGAAAAACAGACTTTTTGGCCTTTCAACAGCTGCCAAGTATTTACAGGTTGTGACTTGGGTTAGGAAAGAGGAAGCTAAGAATATGTGACTAAAAAAATCCTTGTGATACAGGTGGCTAAATCGTTTTAAAAAGACAGAGTGACTACTCAGAATTCCTGAAGCTCAGCTGAACTCAGCCACCTCATCATAGGCTGCTGAACCAGCTGAATTTTTAAGTCAAGACACTGAGGTAAAGTGTTACCCTTAGAAATAATTTCAGTTTTTGCATTAGACAGAAAAGTCTCCCTAGTTACTGATTCTGGGAGGGAAGACACAGAACCAGCGTTCCCAGAAGTAGCTGAAGGACAACTGAATGTGATTTCTTCTAGAACCTGGGAGAACAAACCTGGGCGTGTAACTACAAGGAAATTGCAACAACACACTACCTAAAGTATGCTGCTAAAGGCAGATACAGTGCTCGAGTCCAGATCTGCTCTTTCCGCTACAGGACATGAAAGAAGTTCCCATTTATATTCTGTTAAGAATTGAAAATGTTGCAATTGGTTTTGATATCTCTGGCCCCGCAGCAGACAGTGGTCCATCAGTAAGAGATACAAATTGTGGTAGGAAAAATGTAATGAGGAGTTATGGAATTTGTAGTTTTTCGGTCTCTCACGCATGCTCAATGAAGCACTTGATTGTCATTGGTTGAGAGATCATGTGACACATTTGAACGCCGTATTTAAACTGCTGCCTTTTGTAATAAAGTTAATCTCGCTCCAGACTCGGCCAGAGTGGGGTTCGTGCCTTATACAAACACCTCAACTAATGCACTGAGGGGACCTTCAGTTACTAAAGTACCACTCTTGGCAGGATCAGGGATACAAAAACACATCTTCAAATTCAACTTTTGCTTTGAAATGAAAGTGGAACTTATTATTTCTCTCCTCTTGAGAGGAAGTGAACTCAGTGTGCATAGCTAGCCCAGCTTTGAGGTCAGTCTAACTGGCTTAAGGCTGACCTTGGATACTGCAAAAATGACACAGCAGCTTTTCAAGTCAAAACCCAAGGAATTCCACAAAGACTGATCAAATTTACTGAACAAATGACATGCAAAGCAATAGAAAGGGGTGAACAGCAACTCGTTAAATGAAGCAGACACTGGGCACTACTAAAGTACAATTTGCTATTAATATTTTTTAAGATAAAAGCTGAGCTTTGGGACAATTTTCTAGAATAGCAAAGTAATGCCAAAAAATGAATCTATTAATACAAAGTGTTAAGAGACACAATTTACAAAATGCTTCCTGGGGCAATGACTTATCATTAGAGATGATAACTAACAGATTTAGACTTTTGGATTGAAAAACAAAATACAAATTCAAGCCTTATACACAGCTCCTTGATTTGGTTCCATCTATACAAATTTCAGAACTCCTTTCAGCTCCCTAAAAGCAGAAAGACTTCCTTTTAGATGTGGCAAGGTAACAGCAATCAAACTATTGACCATTAGATCTCCAAGAGTCCATAAAAGTGGAATTTAAACTCATAGAACTGCACAGTAAAACACAAGCAAAGTCAGGAAGGGGCATTTTTGAGGAGTTTCTCGAGACAGGAAAACTAGAAGGAACATAAACATAAAAATGTGCTTATTTATGTTTCAATCTAGTTTTAGCACATATTATAACCACTTCTGAGTCCCAGATTATTTCTATCCATTCCCTTCTCAAGAGCCACCCACCGAATATTTCCTGTGAGCACCTGGATCTGAAAAAATAAAGAGTAAACTAACTGCTTAGTTTGGTGTTAGGATGCATTTAGTAGATTCTTCCACAGGGGAATAAAGATGTGTTCATTTCTTCATCTGGAATAAGAAAAAATGAGAAAGCAGCTCAGAGCAACACTTTAGGAAACAGGACAGACAAAACTCTCTTTTCTGTGCTGTACAATACCTTGCCAAAAGCTACAGCTATCACCTACTCAGTTTTCATAAAGAGTAAATACTTCTACTCAATAATTATCGCAATTTTCTTTATTTAAATCTCAGTAGTTATCAGCAGATCAAAGAGATTTTAGTCCTTTATAAAATCAAACTTGGACGTTCTAAAGGACTATGGTTGTTTCAAATATTCATGTCCGTTTCTTCCAACTAGCACTTTGTCCTTCATTCTCTACTTCACGCTTGCTCCCTCAAACCAAGAAAAACTTTGTGTTTGGATTGTTTGGATAAATATCTACCACTTGGTTGCCTGGGGGGGTTTCTTTAGGGGGTGTTGTTTGGTTTGGTTTTGTTTTTTTAACAAATGTAATATACCAAGTTATTCAAAATATCCAAATAATAACATGCAGTATAATACAATATGCTATAATATAATCACTCATTACTTCCAAAATCTGAAATGTATGCAACAGGCTGCACTGTGCACTCCTTAAATATTCTGAAAAAAATCACCCACCAGCATTTTTGTAAGAAAAACATTCCAGACTTGTGTATGTAAAGAAAATTCACTATGTCAGGATGAGTATAACTAAGATTAAACAGTACTACAGCTGATTTGAGGAATGCCATGCATAAGCTGAAACAATAAAACAAGACAAAAGGCAGTCAGTAATTAATATGAAAAATATATCAATATTTAGTAAAATGTTTTCCTGGTACATGGATGTTATAGGAAGAGCTATATATTTACAGCAATATAGTGATTCTACATTAAAGGTACATTTTCTTATGCAGCTGCTCCCTGTACCTCAAATAAACAACATCTAAGACTTAAAAACCTGTGTCTACATGTTTTTATATGTATAGACACACAATTGTACAAACACATCCCTGAATATTTTGTTCAAATTCACATAAATTAAGAAAATAGGCAATTTAGATTTCACAGAGTATAAAAATATTTAGCAAAACCAAAATACTTACAACATTCTCTTCAAAATATAAAACCTTCACACTGCTTTCTGAAGCTAATGTTGTCTGGCTTTTATCTCCAAAGAGGCAGAAAGTCTTTGTTTTCTCACCTTCACCATTCTGTTCCCAAGAGCATCCTTGCTCCCTGGCCATCTCCCATGCAGAAAGTTTTCTTATGTACTGCAATACCTGGGGGAGGGATGGAGGGAGGAGCTTGGTTACATTTCTGACAGCAGTAAATGAAATTTTGTGATCTCACTGACAATACTATACAAAAGGGAAAATGCTTGGGTGATACCTTTGAAGAATCACCTAAGTCTTAATCCACAATTTTCTTTCTGTTGAAATTATAATTACACTTATTAAAAGCAAAGAGGGATTTTAGTTCAGTTGGAAATATATGTGTAAAATATAAGAAAGCAAATGGTTTCCTGTTTCACTTTTCATTCCAAGGTTTTAACCATATGAATTTTCAGGCATACATTTAAATATTGGTACCAAATTTACCTTGTAGCAAAAGCTTTTGGTTAGAAATTAGAATTACATACTATTCATTTTTATTCCATCTTTTCTATTTTTTAATATTCCCAGGCAATTGTGTATGTTCATTACACCTTTTACAGACAAAATCTGAAAGTCAAATATATTATCTCTTATATACAAGATCAGAGTCCAAAATATGTATAGTATCACACTATAAACCCCACAACATTTATCCTTGGATCTGAAATTGCTTGTATTTATTTAAATAAATGTATAAAGTCTGCTAGCAACAGGTATTGGACAGTAACACAAACACATTAATGGCAAGCCCTGGTGCTAATTACAGTTATCACTCTTAGTTACATCAACAGAATCCATTACTCTCTAAAGTTTTTTTCTTCCTTATTAAGTGGGACATAAATCTTTCCTGACAGTAAGGGAGTTACTCTGGGCTTTGCTGGAAGAATTCTACTGAAGGAACTATGCTGTCCTTAAAAGCCAGGCCACCCTAATGAAGGCAAACACACAAACAGTGATCAAACACTTTGCTCGATTGGGACCATCAGTGAAGGAAACAAAGTGGTTTTAAAAGAAATAAAACCCTAAGTGTCCTGTGGGGCAAGCAACAGTAAGACTTTTTTTTGCAGTGTCAGTTATTTTTCCAGAAAACAAGAGTATGTTCTTGAGATCAGTTCAATTAAGAGAGCAGAATTTTGAAGATCACTAAAGCATCGCTATAATGGCACCGTAACTGCCATGGTCAGAAGCACCCACATTTATAGGGATGCACCACCTAATGCCGTGAAATGCAAAAAAGTTCTCTTCCTGCACATATTTATTCTGCTGCATCTTCTCCATCCATCTGTCCCTGTGAAAAATGGGGCTCAGGGAGAAAACACAGACTCCAACAGAGCCCTCTTTGCACATTGTAATATCTACAGTTTGAAAAGAGAGAGCACAGACAATTAGATCTTTATCTGCAGCACTTTAGGACTTACTGCTAACACCAAAACATTTAGACAGGTATTTTTAATTGTGCTGAGGAGGGGGCAGAAAACTGGTCTCATAGTAACAGCATTGTTTTCTTCCCACTTTCATTCATTATTCCTCAGAATATTGAGTGAAAAAAAGGTTAACAACAAAAAGACAATGATCGTTATAGAAATTACTAAAATTAATGTCAGTCTAGAAATTACTGTTAATTTAGTCCATGTTCTTGATATTTTCGCCTTAAGGTTTTTGATTTTTCTAATTTTTATAAGTTTTAGAAGTAGTTGTGTAGAAAATGTAGATTTTAGAAGCAGTTGCATTTATTCCCTTACCCTTACCCTTAGCACAGTAGATACACATTCCCCAACCCTCTTACCCCATACCATGCTCCCCATATCAACTACACCTTGAATTCCATTTAAGCATGTTTAGTCTCTCTCCTAAGTAGGCCTTCTACTGTTTAAGAACATTTGTTCCCTAGCCTGAAACCTCAAGATACAGTCAAGAACTGTGTGACTGTGTGCACTCTGTACTCCGAGGAAGACCGACGTGACGAAGTAAAGGGTCCCAGGACGAGCCCAGACCTAATTCCCAAGAGGTGGGCTGGGGGTGGACCAGGGTAAAGGGCGGGGGATGGATAAAATCAGGGATTGGACAGACAATACTATAAAAATTGTAACACTGGATTGGAGAGGGCACGCGCGTCTTGTAACCGCATTGCCTTAGAGACATCATTAAATCCTTTTTTTTACAATGCCTCCATATTAAGTTGCCTCGGAGTTTTTTTTCCTCCCTGAGTTTTAGGCATCAACATGGATCTGTCTCTTCCATTAACTGCAAAGTACAACCCTCTTCTTTTTTCCTCCTTATTGCCAGAGCACAAGACAAATATTTTTTTTGGTAGCACTAGCAAACCACCATTAGTTTAATGACCAAGACTGTATAGATATCAATAGCAGAAAAAAACCACAGATTTTTGCATATTTAAATATATTTTGTAACAGTGTCATAACTCTAAACATTAGTTGCTGCTTTAAATTACAGATCAGATAAATGCAGGCATTAAAGATATCAAGGCATTTGGCAGTTCATGCACACTGCATGACCCTCTT